AGGGTCCAATGAATAAACCAAAATGCTAAATTATATTTTTAGTATGATTTTAACCATGCAAACAACCAGGCCCAGGAATATTAAAAACAAGTACACCAATATGTTGCCATCAGTTGCACACAGATGAACTGGAGAAAACCACAGCTTATTTTTCTTTCTTCTTTAGTATTGCTTTCATTAATTAAAAATAATACAAAATACAAATCTGACTTAGGTTCCCCATCAAAAAAAAAAAATGTGAATTCAAACAGTGTTTAAAAAAAAAAATCACAAATTCTCTGAACTTCATCTTCCTCATATACAAGAGGAGAAAAATTTCTTCTCTCCCACAGTTAGTGTTCAAATTAAATGAGATAAATTTTTTTTGTAAACTACAAAGCAATACAGAAACTTAAGGCATGATAATATTCTGATACAGCTAAAACTATATGACAAGCGCTCATATACAAGATAAAATACACTATAGGTTTGAGACTCTTCCACAGAGGTAATAGCTGATAAAATAGATTATTCCCTTCGACTTTTTGAAAGTCTCACACTCCATCTATTTTAATATAAAAATGTTCAAGGCTCTTTAGACATAAATTTATCAATCTCCAAATGTTCTCTCTCAAAAATTACATGCTTGACCATAGCACTGCATTCTAAATGGTGCTCCACTCCTCTATTCCAACATCTGGTACTTACTTTATTTATGCTTAAATATTTTAGATGTCTATTTAAAAATACATAGTAAGCTCCTAAAGGCCAGGACAAATATCTTACATCGTACTTCCATAAGGACAACCAAACACTGTGCTAGTCACAAAACGGGTGTTACCACAAATAAATGTTAAAAAATACTCTAGCTAATTCATATTATAGATGTAGCAGCAATCATTTAAAAATTACTACTCGTGCAATAGATCTTAAGAGTACCTTGAATCCAACAAGAAATTAAAAGCTGTTTAAGGAAAAATTCCTCAAATGTTATTACACGACAAACATTTTCATACGAAATAATGTGTTAGACTAGATTAATATTTTAAATCATACACTTCATTAAGAAAGACTATATATGAGATGAAAAATCAGTTTTAAAATTGTGATGTTAAAAGTTTTCCTAAAATATTTCATTAATTGAAGCATACCACTATTTGCTCAAATGCCCTGCAGCCAGAATGTTAAATATCTTACAGAAATTAACCTATAGCTTCATTGACTTTTCATTTAAAAAAAAAAAATTGAGTTTTCTTTTGAAGCTTAGGGGCAGAAAAAGTTAAAATTGACCTGTTAACTATATTTTCTTTGGGTGTAATACTGACTAATGTCTAGCAAATTCCAAGATAAGTCTTAAAATTAAAACCTTAATTATGAAAATAATGAGTTGCTAAAAAGCCAAGCCTAATCCCTGCCTTATGAAAATCAAGAAAAGTTGCATCAATAGTTTCCCACTTTTGTACACAGACCTGAGATTTAAAACATACAAATGTACATACATTTTGTAGATGTATGTATGTGTGTAGTGATTTGGAAGCAGGACACCAAGATATTTAGGGTACTTCCCCTCCCCTTTTAAATTACCATAATTCATGAACTAAAAGATACTATGCCTAAGGGAAATTCCAGAGTACAAGCACCTGCCAGCCAACTTGTCTTAAATTCATCAGCAGCAGAGATTAAAAGCATCCTTTGGTTGTTTTTATGTAAAACAAAATACAACTGGTGAAATTTCAATGTGGCACAGCCAATCACCTACTATTCCTCTCAATTATGTCAAAACTGACTACACACAGGTTTCACTGTTTTTAGGCATCTTATTAAATACATGTATTTTCCTTGTCCAAACACTCAATAATCAAGATTACAGTTTGAATTTTAAGTTTTTCATTTTACAAAAATGATTCACTAAGATTCCCTTAAATAATCAGTTTCTCTAGAATCCTTATTTATAAAGCACTCAACTTTTCTGCTTATAAAAATGCAGCTTTTTCAAAAACCTATCTGGCATATAAAAGGAGATACAGATATACTTCCTTGAAAATAAATGTTTTCAGTATTTGTGTAGCTCTTCTGGGGCCACGTTTTAAATTCTTGTTTGGTTAAAAAAAGGTTTTAAACATCTAGAAATACAAGTGCTTGCCCTTACATTATGGCTCTCTTGATAATAAAATAAAGATCAATGTAACTCTCAACTCTAGACTAATGAACTGCAGGGAACAGAAACAAGCAATTTGGCAAGAGCTGAGCAATGCTCTGCTTTAAAGGCTACCAGTAAAATATACCAACAATACCCCTCCCCCTCATCCCTTTAAGGTTTCAATTAAGTTGGGGCCTAGCTTTACTCCAACAAGGGGGACAGAAAGAGAAAGCACAGAGCTCCTGCTGAGAAGTATCTTCATCAAGAGCAGCTCCAAAAACACTGCCAGGAATCATTTTTTTCCCTCTTTGCTAACACAGATTCCTCTCTTTAGAGATAGGCATCTTCTCTACTCCAGATCAACACCAAACCTGAAGAAAAGCCTCATCAGTGTACTACCCAAAATGGCACCAATTACAAAACAAAAAAATTACGTCAGCTGTAAATGCTCTTTATATAAAGCGGGAGCCCCAATTACAATCAACTTCATCTTTCATTCTCTCTTATCAGTTACCTAATGAATATCCACTATTTCAAAATAAATTTAAGTGTCCCAGTTGGTGAGAAAATCTCTCTCAAGGTACTTAAAGAAGATGAAGCTTCACAAGCTTTCCAGAAGACCTCAAATTAAAGCTGACTCTCCTGTGAGTAGTCATCCTACCATTCCCACTATAGGCTGAAGAGCCAACATAGTGCAGGGATATCTCTACCCCACAACATCCACAAAGGCAATCAATTTTTTGTCTTAGTCTGTGATTACCTCTAGTGAACATACAGGGTAAGTCTTTCAGTCCAATATGATTGGTGAATAAAACCAGACATAAAGCTGAAAATAGTAAAAACGAATGCAAAGCTGATGCCTCTTTAAAAAGCACCCAAGGATGAAAACCACCTCACTATGTAAGGAATTATAAGACATCAAAGGTTAGATAATGGACAACAGGTGCCTTTGAAGAATGAGTAGCACTCAGTTGCCTCCTATTTTAGGATTCCTAACCTCAAAGCACTCTTTTCTTCCCAAAGAAAGTTAAGACCAAAATTATGATATTTAATACCAATAATGGTTCCCTTGCTAATTGACTTACTTTTTTTGCTTTAGATTTTAAAAGTCAACTTAATCCCAACATGTCTAGATAGATTAAAGCATGGCTTCTGGCCAGATCATGAACTAATCCATGAACATTAACCAACTAGGGACTTATGGTCAAAAAATGCAAAAGAAAGGCTTCTGAATACAAGCTACCTCCACACAAAATGCTTAAAATACAAATCCTGCAGCAGGTATCACATAACGGTAGTAATCAGCCCAAACAGAAACTGTTTCTTTCACCATCTTAACAACTGAGCTCAATCTTTACAGTAACCAGATTCCAAGGGCCTCAAAGAATAGTAATTTCCAGACACAGGTTATAGGGCACTGAATACCGGTCTGGAGTTCTGATTCCCTTAGCCAGTTACGAAATTTACTACCTTTATTCCAATGAAAGGGAACAATGAAAGGATACTTCTTAAGAAGCTACTTAATAACCTTCTTCCCTTTCTCCATTCCACAAAGACAACATATTCCAAAAATGGAGAATCCTTTCTCCCTGACAGAGGACCCCTTTCCTATGGATTCATTGGCCAGGATTACTTTTCCCCAGCATGCTTGCAGAGCCAGAAAATACTTCTGCTTTCACTCTTCTCTTAAAGAGGGTCCCCCAACACAATGCACCTCTTCCTTTCCTGTATTAAGCAAATGATGCTTCAGGGCTACTGGTTCTCTCTACCACTGCGAAATACTCAGAGAAGTAAACAGTGAAGGGAAGTTGTCCGTTACTCGAAGTCTCCAAATTGAACGTTAAGACTGTGGGTGGGGGCACATCCCCTTTCTTGAAGAAGGAATTGGGGGGCGGGGGAGGGTCCCTGCCCTAAAAGGGAGCTTCTGTGTGGGTAAGGGATGTCCCCACCCTTTAAGATAGTCGTTATATGGAAAGAGGGAGGAAAGCTGGACCATAAAGAGGGGGGTCAGGGTTCGAAAAAGGGGTGTCCCAACTATTAAGGTGGGTCTATGGGGGGGGAACCGGATATGGGGAGGGGGTGTACCAGCTAGCGATCGCCTCTTTGAGAAAAGGGGTCCCCACTTTTCATGAAAGAGGGCCCCTCACTGAAGGGGCCGCTGGGAGGAGAAGAGGGTCATGCAGAGGAGGGCTGGGCCTGGGGGGAGGGGTTCTCCAGCCACCCCAGCCAGCAGAGGGGCAGCAGCTCCGCGGGGAGCAAGTACCGTGGAACCACAGCCGGCCACCCCGAGGGGCAGGGTGGAGAGCGGGGCCTGGGCTGTGTGAGGAGGGAACAACGCGCCCACCCTGCGCAGGCGGAGGGCTCCTCAGCCGCACTCACCGAGGCTGCCGGCGAAACCGTCCATCTTGCGGGGAAAGCGCCCGGTTCCGGCTCAGCGGCGGGGCGGGCACTTCATTCAGCGGACCGGCGGAGTGGCCGACGCCGAGCCTGGCCCGCTCGCGCTCTCGGTCGCCCGGCTCGGCTCCCAGTCCCCGCCTCCGTCGTCCGTCGGTCCGTCCGGCCGCCCTGGGGCAAGGAGCCGCAGCTGCCCGGGCCACTTCCCCGTCAGGTTAAGAACGGCAGCGCCGCGCCGCCTGCCCGGCCTCCCTCCCAGGCAGCAGCCGCGAGCGCCTCGTCGCGCCCCGCCCCCCGCGCCCGCGCGCAGCGGTAGCCCCGCCCCCGCGCACGCCGTCACGCTTCCGACTCCGCCTCCCACGTGACGCCACGGGGGCGGGGTCTTCCCGACCCTTCCCTCTCACCTTGCCTGGGTTGGAAGTTCGTCCTCCTGGCGACGGGCTGGTGACAGCGCTTGCGCGGTGGGCCCGCTGAGGGGTTAGGACTCGGGTCTGGAAGCAGGTCGCGAGCTGGTGGGAGTGAGGGCTGCCCCTCCGCCCTGGACCCTCATGAGAGCCCGTAATTGTCTTGGCGACAGATCGTCAGGCAGCATTCTCGCTCCTCGCAGCCCCAGGGGAGCTCAAGTCTGGAGCCTACCTGACTAGAGAGTATCACCCCTCGTGTCCTCCAGAGACACTGAGGAGGCAACCTAGTGCAAGGGACGTTCCTCCTGCCCAGGTCCAAGGATTGGGCTGGGTTAAGGACAAATGGGAGCCAGTCTTCTTGGCGGTCTCAGGGCCATCACTGCCACAAGGGCAGAGCCCAAGAAGGACATGTTAGTGCTGAGCAGGACTCAAGAATTCATCTTGCCTCCCCTTCAGGAAGAGCACTGAAGTTTAGAAAGGATATGACCTGCCCAAGGTCATAAAGCCTGGAGGAAGCAGGGCTAGAACCCAGGCTACTTTACTCCCCCTAGTGTTTCCGCCAGGGATGCAAAGCACCCTATACAGGGCAGATCACAGGATTGCTTATTGTGGATTTGCAACAAAGGGTTGAAGTGAAGTAAGGCTGGATTCTAGGCCCAACACCAAGTGACTCCAGAAGTGAATGTCAAGTCACTAAACTTGTCTGAGCTTCACTTTATTCATTTGCAAGTGGAAGGACTGGACTTGTAACTTAAACACAGCCCTCATCTTCATCCCTTCAGCCAGATTTCTCATCCTTCTAAAGACCATCTCCTGTGGTTTCCAAAATCCCTCCTGAGACTTGTTTGTATGGATCAGTTTTGGTTAAACGGGAGAACACTAAGGTGTTCAGGGACTAAATTGTTCTGTAACACAGAACTGAGAGGAGAGTAAGTCATTCTAGAGAGAGTTGCAGGAGAGGGGGACCGACTGCAGCGTGTCTCCTGAAGCCTCTTTTAAGGTGAGTCAAACATTCCCAAACCAAATGAAGCCTTCCAAGCTCGCATTTAACCATCCCCAGACCTCGCCTAAGTCTTTCCCTACATTCACCTTCAGGGTACCTGCCTTTATAACCTGATTGGTTCAGCTGTTTCCAAGACTTAATTGGTGCTAGTAGGAGCTTGGACCTGGTTCATTTTCAAAAGCAAAATCTAGGTAGTACATCCAACCTGGCCAGCACTGTCTCATGCTGGTACTGGACAGGTAAGTTGTGCTGTATCAGAATGGCACTGGCCAGGGTCAAACCTGACCTGTGTGTCTCCAAAACTGCCAGTTTTTTTCTCTTTTTGCATAAAACTCAAACAGAGCTGAGTCAGGGTCAGCCATCAAACCTGCCTACCACGACATAGTCTGGACTGATGCTGCTCAATTGGGGGCTGCTGTTAACACATTCACATTATGACCTCTAGCCCTGCATCTCCATGATGGGATGGGGGTTGAATCAGTGTCATGGGCCAAAGGGGTGTTGCAGGAATTTCTTGTTAAAGAAAAACAGACTGAAATAACTCAATTAATTGGGAATGACTATAAAGCATGTAAGTATCTCATTAAGTCTGAAATTAAATGTATCCCAACTTTGCTTTCCCTCAGCCAGAAAGCCAAAATATCCAAGACCATTCCAATACTATCTGACATAAAGGAAAATGTGATAGAGGAAATTGTAGTGGAAAGACAAACTTTCCTGGAGGCTTGAAAAAGATCTCTGTAAGTGAGACCTGGCGCTTATGCTTCATTAACTTCATGATAAATCTGACTCTGCAATAGTTACTTTTATTTCTACCAGAATAATTCATGCTTATCTTGACTAGTGACTACAACCAAAAGTTTACTAAAAAAAAAAAAAAAGCAAGGATAGGTAAATAAATGCTTATTCAGAAAAATAGCAAATAGGAGAGATACAGCAATCACTATCCACAGCAATTCTGGAATCTTGCTGGATAGGTTTTATGAGCACTAAGGAAAGTTCTCTTCTTAAGTTTTAGTCTTTCAAGGAATTCTTTTGTCCATTGTGCTCCATGATCCCTGACTTACCTATTCTACAAGAACAGTGTCAGGGTGTATACCTTTCTTGTAGGATACTCAGCTCACTTTCTGCTTGTGCAAATATGAGACCAAAGGTTACTTTCCAACTCAAATAATCAAAGGATTTCTTTGAGAACATGATTCCCTCAAGGTCGGTAGGCTTCTGATCTCTTTGCTTCCAGTCTGCTCCATGTGTTGATAGCCATACCCAAAATTCTTTCCTACAAATGATTCTCAAGCGTAATTTATATCTTTGTTTTCCTTCCGTAGTTCCTTGCTTTCTCAGTTTAATGGGGGCTATCTTCAGGCCATCAGACTTGGGTGGGAAGACTACACTCATTTACATCCTTGCTGTGAGTCCAGATCTAAATGAACCTTTGTTACTCAAAGGTTCTTAATATTTTGTTTCCTATCTGGATGTTTAGAAGTAGTCAGCTTTCTAATCTGACCCCCGGTTTCCAGATTCCTCTAGTTTTCATTTATTTCTGCTTGCAAACCAGCCAATTCTTGTTTGAGCTTTTCTCTTTCTTATAAATACTGTGCTCTGGCATAAAACCAATTGTGCCACTGGAGCTCTTTGCTTTTCTTTCTTATGATGATTTGCTGAAATTTGAAATAGTAGCCAACTCATACTATTACTCTAACTCTTTCCAAAAACTTTAGAGCACTAGGCAAGTAGTGTTCCAACTTCTAAGTTACTAACAGCATCAGATATAGCAAATATTTGCCATGACATAATAGGACTCTCAAGTATTCTAAACTCCACTAGTTGTTTCCACACCAGCCCATACCCAACTCTGAATTCAAGGTGTTATGTTTTAGAGTTTATTTTTTTCCTTCAACTTCAAAATTTCATCTTCTGTATTAGTCAAGGTAGAAGACACTGTTACAAGCACTCCCCAAATTTCAGTAGCTTAATAAAATAAAATTTTCCACTCTTATCACTATCCAATGAAGATTACCATGAAGTCATTCAAGGATCCAGGCTTCTTTTATCTTGGGCTCTACTCTCTCAGCCAGTGAATGGGGTAGTGGTGGAAGAACGTGGAGGATCACATTAGAAACTTATGGTCTAGCTATGGAAGTGCGTACTTCACTTTATCTACATTCCCTAGGCCAGAACTTGGTCCCTTGACCATATTTAACTGCTAATCAGGCAAAGAAATATAGTGTCTGTAACCAAAGGGAAAAGGAAAACAATGGGTCAAAGAGTTTCTGCCACACTCCTCTCCATAGCACTTAGAAGTTCTAATTTATCATTTCCTTGACTGGTTGTTCAATAAGTGTCTCACCCATTAGATTGAACACTACGAGGAGACTTTTTAGAATATAGGACAGGTAGTACTGGAGTAGTCCAGTGGTTGAGAGTGCAGATTCTGGGATCATACATACTGCCTACATTTAAATCCCAGCTGTGCCACTTAACAACTGTGCAACATTGGACAAATTTCTTAATCTCTGTGTCTCAACTTTTTCACCCATGAATTATGAATGATAACATTTCTACTTCCTAAAGTTATCAAGGGAATGCAATGAGATAATACACGTAAAGCCCTTAAAACAGGGTCTAATATGTTCTAAGTACTTGGTAAGTATTAACTGATGTTATTATAAATAGGTTTGCATCGTTTGTTTTTACTCAGTGTTGTATGGCTATTACAGAGTAGCTGTTCAATAACCATTTATTGAATATTGAACAATATGGAATTCTGAAAACTTGTCAGTCTGAACACGTTATTTGATCAGTCAAGCCCAATTGTTTTAAAGAGCCAGCATTAACTTTTCAGTTTTGTGTTTATCAAATTAGATCCCACAAACTGATTAATACTGCTGTAATAAAATGGAAGATGTAATATAAATCCCTCAAAATGAAAATATAGGTACACACTATCATCAAACACAGACCTATAAAAATCCAGACATGATGTTATGGATGCCTATTTGGATTCTTCACTTTAAAAAAGATTTATTTTTAGATTATTTTTAATACAGAGCCACCTTTGAGCCTCAAATTGAGCCCTTTACATGCATCTTATTTTAGGCGAATGTAAAATATGTACATTTTTTTTTTCAGGAGCCTAATTATTGACAAGGCTAAATATAGATATATCACGTAATAAAAAATTTTAAACATTCTCTCGGTGCACAGAATCTTGCGTAGTTGCAGACTCTGTGCACAGTTACCTTTCCCTCTGTCAAAATGAGGTTATTGTGGGATAAGTTTTAGCATGCCTGTTAAGTATTACGACTTACTGTCAAAACCTTTACCTAAGCTTTGAAGAAAAATAAGATTCCTATACTGAATTTTTTTCTTTTGCTCTCAATAGTTAGATGACCTTGAAAGGTAACAATAAACACTTTTTATCTTGACTTTCCCTCAGTTACTTTTAAAGTGACATCAAAAGCAGGTTTTTAAGTATGCTGAACTTTCAGCTCCTTTTATTTTGTTGTCTTAATGTTCTTTTAAAAACTAAGCCCTATAGTTACAGAAATGTGCAGATGGTATTATTGTCTACATGAGCATAAGTATGATAGAGATAAAAAAATGTTTTTCTTTGACTTTTAAAATCATAAATTAATATATCTACATGGGAAAAAAAGATTATTTGTTTTTATAATATGTTTAACATTAGCAGTATATGAAAGAGTTCCAAACTCTATGAAACTAAATGGTAATGTTGTTCTAGCTTCTAACCATAAAGAATGCTTACAATATATTTTAAATGCTTGCAAGAGAATAATAAAAACATGCTAGGATATACCCCAAAATATTAGAAAGTAGTTGCCTTTGGAAAATGAAATTGAGGAAAAGATACAGAGATACAGGAGACTTCATTTTATATTATTTGTCTCATAAATTTTCAAAAACTGTTTAAGATTTTTTTTAAATGTTGCATTGTATATTAATTCATGGCTTAGCATGAACTGTATCTATATAGACTTGTTTAAAGTATCATGTTTATTAAATAGCTTTTTTACCAGTCTTGGCATAGTTACCATTTACCTAACACTTTTCAGCCTTACCTCAGAAAAGAAGCAATTATAAGTCCTGTAAATTCTTGGTGTAAGAGCTTATGAGACTGAGCTCTATCTTTGGGGATCACCAAATACAGTTCATTTAGGTGGATTTGTTGCATGGATGATGAGTGAGTGAGTGAATGCACACAGAGGATAATTTTGGTAACTATGATAGTGCCATTCATGTCTAGCAAAGAGAAGAGGCCCAGCCTGCTGAGCTAAAATTTCCCTGTGCTAACTCAATATTTATGCCATGAAGTGGGGCTTAAACTTACTGAGATTGTAGAACCAACTTTAAAGTTTCTTTCTATGTGCTAGAGCTTCACCACATTTACAGGATGTTGGGCAAGCCTTACCAATAACCAATTTTCACCTGTCTACCATATAACTGTATACTTTTCCCCCACAAATGATTCATAGTTGCTCTTCACAAAATTAAAATTCTGCAGGGGAATACTTCTGAATAGCATTGTTACAATGGAAAACAGCCATTCAGAGAAATTAAAATTAATAACAAAGGAAGTTCTCTACTTACAAATAAAGTATTTCCAAAAGGTCATTTGTAAGTCAACTGTTTGAAATTAGGAGTGATGTTATAAGTGGTGGTTAGATTGCCACTTAGCCCCCACAACATGTAGTGTGCTGATCCTAACCTGCCTGTGTTGAAACCACATTGATGACAACCTCATTTAAGGTTCTGAACTAGACAGGTCTGTATTTGAATACTGTCTATTATAAGCTCCTACCTGTAAGTTGATGTTGCAACCTAAATACAACTTAAAACACTCTTCCAACTTTCAAAGAGCTGACTTAGGAAGTAAGTTTTATTATCCCCATTTTCAGATCAAGAAAATGAGCCTCAAAAGTTTACAATTAGAAGGTGGGAAAACTAGGGTTTGAACCCATGTCAGTCTACATCTG